AATAGGGGGGCCGGGGGCCCCCCCCCGTCCCCCCGGGGGTTTTTTGGGGGGGAGAGAAAAAAAAAAAAAAAAAAAAAATCCACCTCGACTTCGTAGGTAAAGCAACTCTTTCGGGTAAAGAGCAGCAGAGGCAACACAGGATTTCAAAGCCTGTTGTAGATCAGAGGCAAGAATTAAAGTGGCCTTTTCGGTGCCTTCCCCAGCAAAGCCGGTGTTTTATTAAGCCTATCCGGCACGGATCAGAACACTTGCTGTTATTCCAGGCCTGAAAGGAGCAGGCGAGGAATTGTTTTATTTTTTTTGTATAATTTTTTTTTTTTTTGGTTAAGTCTTGTTTTCATTATTTTCTGGTGGCTTCGTGGCTTTGTGCTCACACAAAGGGAATTTCACCTGCTGTTCAGAACAAAAGGCCCCGGAAAGTTTGGCGGAGAAGGGGAAGGAGCTTTATAGAAGCATAAACGAGTTGTTGCAGGGTTTGTTTTTCTTTTCGCCGCGAGCTGTAAAACATCCCCAGCTCTTTGGTGCCTGTGGGAGACCCGGCACCAGCACGCGTGTCCCCTGTCCCCAGTGTGTCACCCCGTGGCTGGGAACAGGGAGGTCTCACAGCCCTTTGTGAGATCGGGGTGGATTTGGGGTGCAGAGGGGGCCGTGGGGAGGCAAAGGGGATCGCCCCCCATCCTTTTCGCACGCAAGCCAAGTCATCGCCATGCTTTCTAAGAACGGGAAAGCCAAAAAAAAACCAAAACCAAACACCCAGCCCTGGTTTGCCGACACCACTGCAAAACAGGTGGTTCAAAATCACAAGCGGAGGGGGGAGAAAAACCCCCTATTTGGTGATTTTGTGCTCAGATTCGCCGCAAAAACTCTCCGGGAAGGAACGCTGCTAAATACACACCATTTTCCCCTCTAACACTCTTTGCTCTATAATTAAGAGAGACTTCTAAAAATACAAATAGCCTCAAGCACCCAGCGAAGGCGTGCAGGTGCTGCTAACTGGAGGCACTTTAGTGCAGCTCATTTTCTGGACAATTTTACTAGCCTGGCTCGCGCTCAGCGCCGATACTATTACAGTGATGCAATTATGCTGCTGCTGCTGTCGTTGTCGGCTTGCTTTGCCTTTTTTTTTAGCTATTTTTCCCCCCCCCCTCTATGCTCTGCAGTTTACCTTCGAAGCACCCCCTTCCCTTCCTCCCCACATCCCAGGTTCACCCCAGGCGTGCCCCCCCCCCCACACCACCCCATTCGGGCCAAGCAGTTGGGAAGCGGAGGTTGGGGCGAGCGTGCGTCGCACACGCGCGTGCATACACATGTGTGCACACGCAGAGGTTCATAACCCCTGCGTGGGTATTTCCAAAAAAAACAAAAAACAAAAAAAGAGCCGGTGCGCAAAAGTTTTGGCCGGGAAAACGAGCGGGTCAGGGGGAAGCGATGGAGGCGAGGGGGGAGCCCAATGAGGCACCGGCGCTCCCCGAAAACCCCGGGAGGGAGGGGGCCCACGGCACTGGCAGGGTGACGGCGCTCAGCTTTGCAAAATCCCCCCCCCCAAAACTGACATTTCAGGCAGGGGGGCAAGGGTTGGGGGGAGGGGGCGAGCGTGCGTCGCACACGCGCGTGCATACACATGTGTGCACACGCAGAGGTTCATAACCCCTGCGTGGGTATTTCCAAAAAAAACAAAAAACAAAAAAAGAGCCGGTGCGCAAAAGTTTTGGCCGGGAAAACGAGCGGGTCAGGGGGAAGCGATGGAGGCGAGGGGGGAGCCCAACGAGGCACCAGCGCTCCCCGAAAACCCCGGGAGGGAGGGGGCCCACGGCACTGGCAGGGTGACGGCGCTCAGCTTTGCAAAATACCCCCCCCCAAAACTGACATTTCAGGCAGGGGGGCAAGGGTTGGGGGGAGAAGGAGGGGGGGGGAAACTTCACCGGCGAGGCTGCCGCCGCGAAACTTCCCCATCTTATTTCTCCATTAGGGCTGCAATGGGTGGAAGTGATTGACTCACTATGAGACTGCTGTTTTTTGCCTCTGACTTGGGATTAAGACGGAGCCGGAGGAGCGGAGGAGCTGTCGCGCCGGCTCGCTGGGGCAGGCAGACGCCCGAGCCTTCACTTACCTCTCACTGCATCCAGCCCCCCCCCACCAACCCCCGCCGGCCGTGGGGCTGCGGGGCCGTCCTGGAGAGTTAGCTGGCGGGGGACCCCAGATCCACTCGGGTTTCTCCCAGGACCGACGTTCGGCTGCTGCTTCTTAGGCACAGACCCAACCCCTCCATTCCAACCACAGGCAAAAAAAAAAAAAAAAAAAAAAAAAAAAAAAAAACGGGTTTATATTTTCACTTGGAACAACAACATTTGGACAGCCCCAAGGATAGCAATTGCAGTTTTTTTTTTTTTTTTTTCTTGGTTCGGTTTCCCCCTGCCACCTCCTGGAGAAAAAAAAATAAAAAATTATAAATCCCAGCGAGCAAGAGATCCAGACTCAGGTGAATTTAGCTTCAAACTCCCTCTGTGCTTTCAGAGCCTTCGCCCTCAAAGGGGCTCTGGAAGATGCTGGGGGACCCATCGTCGCCAAAGTGTCATCAAATATCCTTCGGGCTCAACTCCGCTCCTGCCCGGGGAGGGTGGACTTCTTCCCTGCTTGCTGCGTGCTGTGGAGTTGGCAGGGACCTGCCTGTTTCAGCCTCAGCGTGGAGGGTGGGTGGGTTGGTTGGTTGGTTGGTTGGTGTGGGTTGGTTTGCCTTTTCTTTTTTTTTTTTT